ATCATATATTTAGAAGGTATATATATATTTCATTGTAGTATATTTAAAACTATGATTGCCATTATCGTTTACGCTTTTTTATCACAGATTTTCTATGTTGACCCAGTCAGGGATCGAACCTGGGATAAGAGTGGAGCAATGCACTTATCCATATTTGAATGATTGCTAAAGACGTTGTTCAATAACATGTGGGAATGAATGGAGTCTGGGTGATAGTTGATTGTGAAATTGAATCAAGGCTCAATTCACACTGGCGCAGAGTCGAAGCGACGCGAGGCGTCATGGTTTCTCGCTTTTCGCCTGTAGCAAATTCGTCTCTATTTTCTCATTATCAAGATAATCCCACTAAGACGAGACGCGCGACACCCTATTACCATTTCATAATTGTCGCTCGTAGCAAATTCATCTCTATTTTCTCAATATTATCTAAGGTATTCTTTAGGCAAAAAACATGACGCGACGCGGTGGTGACGCTGCGACTGTGCGACATTGTGAGTAAAGCCTAATATATTTAAAACATTGATTATTTTCTTAATTCTTTATTCAAATTAGGAAGTTGCATTGTCATCGTTGCGTTCTTAATGTTCGGTCATCGGTTAGTACAGTCAATCTGTAGGTTGAGTGGTGAAAAAAAAACCTAAAGGGTAAGTCTTGTTTTTTCTGTTGCCAAATGACGTCAGTAAGCCACCTTGGCGATGGGCATGTTCAACTCGTAGGCGTTTTTTGAAAAACTCAAAAAAACCGTCAAAAATTTTTGGAAACGCATTTTTCTTGTTTTGTATGCATTTTAGAAACTTTTCTTTTCGGCCATAATTGTAGAGGGCGTTGAGTACTACAATTTATGTCAGTGTTGCAATCTCGTACAACAAAAAATGCGCATTGTAGGTGGCGCTAAAGTCTCAAAAAAGTGTTTTTTCACTTTTTCACCCTGAATATATCATTTTAATGGAAACTTTAAATGGCAAAGTTGTTTCGTACATAATTACCAACAACTTTTGTATAAACAATTTTTTTGTATTACTTACCATTTTCAAGTTATAAATTGCGCAGGTATGAAAAATCCAACAGAGCGGTTTTGGGCAGTTCAAGTACACATTTGCAGTGCACATTTCAATGTACGTTTTACTATTTTTATTTTTTTTCATGATTGAAAAACAAAAAAAAATAAAAAAAAATAGTTTTATTTTTATTTTTTTTCATGATTGAAAAAAAAAATAGTAAAAATGTACATTGAAATGTGCACTGCAAATATGTACTTGAACTGCCCAAAACCGCTCTATTGGATTTTTCATACGTGCGCAATTTATAACTTGAAAACGGTAAGTAATACAAAAATATTGTTTATACAAAAGTTGTTGGTAATTATGTACGCAACAACTTTGCCATTTAAAGTTTCCATTAAAATGATATTTTCAGGGTGAAAAAGTGAAAAAACACTTTTTTGAGACTTTAGCACCACCTACAATGCGCATTTTTTGTTGTACGAGATTGCAACATTGACATAAATTGTAGTACTCAACGCCCTCTACAATTATGGTCGAAAAAAAAGTTTCTAAAATGCATACAAAACAAGAAAAATGCGTTTCAAAAATTTTTGACGGTTTTTTTGAGTTTTTCAAAAAACGCCTACGAGTTGAACATGCCCATCGCCAAGGTGGCTTACTGACGTCATTTGGCAACAGAAAAAACAAGACCTACCCTTTAGGTTTTTTTTTCACTGAAACGATATTTTTTTCGACAGATTGATTGTACTAGGTCCCTGAGTTTTAAATTAATTTATTTTTACCATCGCAGCTGAGTTACTGCACCGATTTTGATGAATTTTAGTATGGATATAGAGGATACTGTAGAGAACGACTGGTTTAAGTAGTTTTTAAGGTAAAATAAAACTGAGGTGGGGTAAAATAGGGGATGAAACTTCTTATAGGGAACCGAGTATAGCTACGACGTAGACATACAACACCAGCTCCTTTAAAACACTTTGTTTTGCCAAAGTCCTCCAGTGTGTTGTGCGTTGGTGGCCATAATATGGAACTTCTTTATTTTTACCTGTGGAGAGTAATTGGCCCATGAAACTTCAAAGCAGAACATTTCTGTTCGAGCTGGAGAGACTGGCTGGGAAAGGAACTTCCACAGTAAATCTATAGGTGGCACAGTAGAATACAATAAACACACACCTTTTGGTGATACAGTCAATTGGATTCCTGACCCACCGTAAGCTTATTTTCTTACAACCACGGTAAAACAATAAGGTAGACCTTTGCTTGAATATACGTACGTTTCCAGGGAGGAAACAAACTTGTTATTTTATGAAAATTCCATTGATCTGTTAAATAAAACTAGGCAACAAAAGTGTATGTAAAAGTGACGCAGCGATCGTGTGGCCAACAGTTTGGTTTTGGGCTACTCCACCGTTCTCTTTATTTCTAGATAGTTGTCTATGGCAATATATCTCTATGCCTATGCGTCAGGATTTCAGGGTCAGTGTGACCAGATTCAGTATTTTAATACTTTTTCAGTATATTTCATAGATTTTTCAGAACATCAGTATATTTTCAGGTATATTGCTGGCAGTCAGTATTTTTGGGTATATTTTGGTAGAAGTTATGGCAACACCGTAGTGAGTGATCGTCTTTGCGACAATGTTTGCGGAATGAGGGCTATCGCGTATGAATCCACCGCTAGAGGCGCTAGTGTAGCGTGAGGTCTCCGAAATGTCAAATGTTATTGATTGTTGGTTGTCTACGCGGGTTTATTTCTTATTAAAATAATGTTGTGAATAATTGGTAACAATTCGGCTTAATTATGGCAAATATGAGTTATGTGGCAATGAATGTCAGTTATTAAAAATTTGAGCTTAGAAAAATGATTATGTTCCCATTTTTTCCGAATAAAACGGAACTGGGCGTCACTGTGGCAAGGCCTATTATGTTTAGGATATGGTTCTTTTGTGTTAAAATACGATCTAAATGTAACCTTTGATTTCATGTGCGTATTAATAAACTTTAAAAGTTACAATTTAGGACCTCACTCAACAGTGGCGCCATCTGGTGAGACAGAAAACGGTAGCCTTCATTCCCCGGAATGCGAACATTGGGGACTTCCCCGGATTTAGTTTACCTATACTTATACATGTTATCTATGAGTAAATTACAGATATGACAAGAAAGACGACCGTTGTCGGCGTTGTAGTATTGTAATACTACATATACAATTATCAATCAATACATAGTATTAATCGGACTTGCAGAATGTATGTTCGCCTAAAACTTTACAACTGCTGGGCCGATTTTAATGCGGTTTGCACTATTAGATAGAGCATGAAGGAGGTTGTGTAAATTTTAATCCTTCGAAAAGGACGTTAAAATAAAACTCTAACATTTATTGTGAGTACGTATGAATAAATAAAATGTGTTAAGAAAATCAGTATTTTTATTGGTATATCTGTCCTATGTAAGTCGGTATATTTCAGTATTTTTTTGAGGTGCCTCGGTATTTTCGTAAAATTTTATCTGGTCACACTGTTCAGGGTAGTTAATGATGCGCGATTCATATTCTGGTACTGCAAGTCTATCATAAGGCGCTTAGCAGACGACGGGGCGGAGCGGGCATTTTGTCCGCGAATCAATAAAGACCGCGTCTGCCCGTCGATGTCTGCGGCTGCCCGCGCCGCGTACACAAAGCACACGACGGGCAGAGGCGGTCAGTTCAGGACGTTCGTTCTAATGAATAGTCCATACTAAAAAGCGCGTGGCGCGGAGTGAGCTAGCCGCCCCGCGCCGCAGTCTGCGTTACTGCATATAAAGGCGCTTTGCAGACGACGGGGCGGGGCGGGCCGGTCAATTTCGCCGCGAATAATAGCACAAAGTGAATCCTATACTTCAAACGCACACAGAAAAATCAAAATGACCACGCCGCAGGTGCCCGGCGGGCACTGGCGGCGCGGCATGTCCGCGGCTGCCCGCCGTGGATCATACAAACCAGTTTATATGCAGTAATGCAGACGGCGGCGCGTGGCGGTCAGCTCAGTCCGCGCCACGCGCTTATTAGTGATGGACTATTCACTAGAACGAACGTCCTGAACTGACCGCCTCTGCCCGTCGTGTGCTTTGTGTACGCGGCGCGGGCAGCCGCAGACATCGACGGGCAGACGCGGTCTTTATTGCTTCGCGGACAAAATGCCCGCCCCGCCCCGTCGTCTGCAAAGTGTCTAAAGGTATGGTGGTGAGCCACTTATGGTCAATTCATATAAGCGCAGTCAAAGCGAATTTCAGAAACGTTACAAAGCAAATACACTACACACTATACATCTCCGTAACGTAATGTACATATTCATTTTGAGATTAAGAGAACAGGCGTGAATTCCGTTGATTATCAGCTCAGAAGGAATATGTGCATTACGTTGCGGAGCTAAGGGTGAATTTGCTGTTACTGTTTCTGAAATTCGCTTCTGCGCTAGTATGAATTATCCATTAGGTTTTTAAGCAGTCATCGTGGGTCGCCTACTCAAGGAATCCTGGGTTCAATCCCTAGGTTCTAATGTTTGTATGACGAATGCCAGCAAATGTTCCTAAGTCATGGCTGTTTATATTTCTTGAAAAATATGCTTATATTAATTAATTATGTTTTTCTATCCGTTACCCACTATCTCGCATAACACAGAAGGATGTCTGCTCTGTGTTCTGTGTATTATCCATCCAATAACACAAGACTAATAGTACCTACTAATTTTGCTAGGTTAAATTAGTGCGAGTGTTAGAAATATTTACATATTTATTTTGCATAGAATATCTAATTCATATGAAAGTTTTATCATAATGATTTCTACTGTACTCATCAGCTTTGCAGATGAGGATGAAACAAATTAACTATTAAACTTATTAAGTAATATCAACTAAAATATACAAAAAAGAGGATGCATGTGTGAATGTTGGTGTTAAACAAAGGAAGCAAGGTGCAAATAAAAGGAAACTATCAAAATAATGTATTTTAATGTCAATGAAAAATAAACTACCTTATACATGTGTACTTACAGCTGTGATACTTAAAACTAAGGAACATAAAAAATACAAAATGGCAAAAATCAATCAAAACTTAAAAAAGCTTTTGATACTACTCATAATAGTCTTACTTTTCTCTTGTGATTTAGATCTTGCCTTATTCGAGTTATTTTTTATTTGGTCACCCGTGCTCTGATTATCTTCTGACATATTTATAATTGGATTTTCTTCTTTAACGGTTTTTGTTGGCATTTCTAGACTAGAACTACTTAACTTAATACCTTCTGCCTCTGTTTTATTGTTTTCTTTACTGTGAAGTCTCAAGTGTTTCAAGTCAGCAGAGTCATCAGAGCACCCGAGTTCCTATTGGTTTGTCTTTGCACTCTTGGGCTTCTTCACCCTTAAGGGTTTCGTACGGACTAAATCTGTTCGGCCAATATTTATCATTTTTATTTCCCATGCTTCTAGATCTTTCCTGTAAATAAGAAAATGATATGAGGTTAATTTGATGATGATTTATGCAAATATCAAGTCATTATTTTATTTTCTCACATATCAAATTATCTATCTAGTAAATGACTCGGCTTCAAATACATAATTTATAATATAGATATTTACCAAGGACCTATAAGGGTGATCTTTCTTCATACAAGTTATAAAACATTTCCCCAAGAACATTTTAGACAATATGCCATTTGATGTTTTCACTAAATATGTGGCATGATTACAATACAAATTATTGATGGGAATAGAGATTATAAAACATACACACTCACTTATATTTATTCATCAGTTCTTCTGCTTGCTTTTCATATTTGACCCTATCACTCTCAGGTAATTTCACCCATTCTGACTTGACAAGCTCTTGAAATTCCTTGAGATTGCTTGATTTGAACGAGTCTTTTTTTGTTTGTGAAAATAGAAAATAAGAAGACATGGGTTTCTTTGGTCGACCCATTTCTTTGTAGTCCTGAAATAAAAAGTAAATGATATTATTTTAGATATGAATGTATAGTCCATTAAATCAACTATAACTCATTTGTTTCTTAGGTTTTCACGCACATCACTCATTAAATAAAACTAGTTTAAACGGGATAATGCACGAAACTTTATTTATTTATTGACGTTTCGTAGCCTTTACAGGATTCGTCGTCAGAATAAAACTTTTGTTTAATTTGTCAAGCTACCTTCGACAAATTAAACAAAAGTTTTATTTGTTTAATTTGTCAAGCTACCTTCGACAAATTAAACAAAAGTTTTATTCTGACGACGAAGCCTGTAAAGGCTACGAAACATCAATAAATAAATAAAGTTTCGTGCATTATCCCATTTAAACTAGTTTTATTTAACTATAACTCATTCAAATTATAATAAAAACCACTTTTAATGAGTTTTAAACTACATATCACAAACTCAACAGATAGATTATATTCTAATTGTATTTACAATAGGGATGATGACTACAGATTTTTTTCTTCGTTTATCAGGTAGATTATCAAAAAGTATTGGACATATATTTTTTTTACATAATATAAACATTGCAGAGATATATTGATTTGAAAAGTCGCATGTCGTCACGTTTTGGTACAATTTTCACTTAAAAGTGACGTCATAAGCCCCTACTCCCAAACTTTGATGCGCTATAAGTTTGTAATTTTTTGGTTGATTGCCCAAAGAAAAAATATGTGTCCATTATTTTTTGATCATCTAACTGACAGACTAAATAGAGTTTCGTTTACTGTACCCCGTCATCATCCCTATTGTATGATAACATACAAGTATATTGTAGAAATTTTCTATAAAAGTAATTTATGATTAAGTCAAAATAATTTTACAGCTTTTAGTTTTCTTTTCTCTCTGGCTTCCGATAATTCTTCTTTCACCCTTTGTATGTCAGCTTTTTGTTGGTCTGTCAAAGATTTTTCATATAATTCTTTGATTTTCCTATAATCTTCCATGTCCTTTTCAAATTCTTTCATCATTTTTGTCTTTGTCTGAAACATAAATAATATTTATAATTTAAGTATTTTACTGGTAGAAAATCAAAATTGCAATACCACAAACAGGAATAAAATTATGAACTCCAAATAAAATCTTGTAAATATAATTTAGGGTATATGGTTGGCTGGTTTCTTACTTCGGTGTCAAGCTGTTGCCAATGTTTGGAACTCCATGCTATAGCCTCCTTTGATGTGATTCCTGGATTTTTAGCAAGTAAAGCTGGCCTCATCTGTGTCATGAACTTAAAAAATGGTGTTAAAGGCCGTTTAGGTTTTTCTATACCTAGTCGTTCTTCAGCTGATTTTTTTGTATAATTGCAAAATTGCTGTTGAACCCAGTTATTTCTGCAAATATTCAATAACATAAAACAATAACTTTTTTAAGCAGCTCGGTCACCAAGATTATTATTTAACTAAAATTAGTAAGGTAATCTATAGCATTAGACTTAGTATTTAAAAGGTTTATCTTAGTAGGTGAAGGAGAGACTAAAAGGGAGTTGTTTATAACATTATTACTAAAAGTAAACAACGTTAGAGCGTCCTAACCTTACGTACCTTCTATGTAATAAGGACTTGTAGCTACCAACTACATAATTATTTAATCGACAGAATTGATTAAATAAAGACATTATGCGAAATAGCTTATACTAAACTATTTTGTTTTGTGATAAAAGCGATTAAAAAGAAAAGAATTTCGAAGAAAGAAATCACAGGTAGGGATGTTCGATATCGATTATCGTTTGTAAAATTACACGCATTAATCGATTAATCGATCAATTAAAATAATCAATTACATCGATTATTTTACATCGATTAATCGATCGCAATGACCTTCATTATGGTCTTGTCAGTTCATACATTAACAATGCCTTAACATGAAACACGTCTCAAAAATCATCATAACAAGCTTCGACAGCCGACAGCTTTGTCCATACAATACCCACTGTTACTTTAGTCTTTAAAACCATCTCTGTCTATATATGTAATAATGTATAACGTTTATGCAGTTGAAGCTACGTATGTTTCTTCTAGATGTCAAACTGGAACAAAATGTTCATGGTGGCAAAAGACCATAGTCATTAGTCATTTATTCCATAAAAACAATATTACATTGTGTCGGAAATTATGGTAAGTACCTACATAGAAATAAATCCCAAAAACAAAACCCTTACATAGCCTGGGATACTATTAAAAACCAATATCCAAATATTTAAGGAGTGGCAATCAGACATTTATCAATCATTTCCACGTCTGTGCCTTCTGAAAGACTATTTTCAGAAGCTGGGCTAATCGCCACCGACATGAGAAACAGATTGACTGGTGGACTCTCTCATCTTTCGATGTTAATTTTTCTGTCATCCATAGATGAATCTCAATGGAAATGTTAGTGATTAAATAAACATTCTTATTTTAAAATTGAAATTCTTTTATTTGTAATTAATGTCTATGTATTCCTTTTTTGTATTTCGCCGGAACATTTATTTTCTTACAAAGTCTGGTTTTTTTTTTCGATTATCGAATTATTATCGATTACTTTGTTATCGATTATCATCCCATAACACAGGTAGAAGTCAGCTTAGGCCGCGTTCAGTGTTACCAGAAAGCCATTTCGCCTTCCCCCCAAATCTTAACCGGAATCCCCCCAAAATAAAGGTTTATAAAGAAAAAAACCCGCAACGTTCAAAATATTGATTAAAAATATAATATTTACTACATAATATGTATTTCTGCACAAATTACGATTTAGCAGACCAAAGATGATAATGTCGAATCGATTTGCAGTGTTATGTTTGTTTTTCTTTATTTCTATGTCTAGAAAGTTATCATTTTGTATAATTTTATACCCACTACCGGACATTGGCGAAATTTCTGTGTAAAACGGGTACAGCCACAACCACAGGCAAAAAAATATTTATACATACCTTGTGCTTTTTTAAGCATTTATCTACTAAATGTTTAAATGTAAAGAAAATTTTACTATTTTTTTTTTCTTTAGAATTAAACATCTAGTAGTTAGATGCTTATAAAAAAACTAACTACACTCGCGAGCAACCAAATCGACTTAAGCGCTGTCTCTCCATTCAAAGATTGTTATGAGTAAAGGTATACAACATTAAAATAAAAATAATATGTCAATTGAAAGCTTGAAACCTAAGCTTTAAAAAAACATCAACATCAATATATAAAATTAATACCAACATGTTCATTTGCACAATTAGGGCGTATGGGACAAATTACTCACTACGCGAGTTGTACTACCCTCTACCCCTATAAAAACCCCCGTGACCCTTCAACCCTTACCAGGACTGTATCTACGTAAGTGCTCCGAAGTAAAGCTGCGCCTTTACTACTCCGCGAGCACTGCCTGGCGCCTCTGCCCCAGCGTGGATCACCGCACCACCCAGCTGCAGGCCTGAGCGCGCCGTAGGGCGCCGCAAGGCCATAATGGTCAGTGCATTCACCCGTATAGCGAAGGGTGCAGGTTCGAGTCCCAACTGCTGCCTGTTCCGCGTGGAATTTTTTCTAGTAAAATTTTCTTTAGGATCATACCTACCTTTTTATTTCCTATATTTCTAATAAACAGTTTATGAGAGTATCTGACTTTCATTGCGAATAATATATAAAAAAATGGGTGCGTGTACTTATGTAGGCGCGTGAGAAGTTATCCTTCTTTGGCATCGTTTAAAATTAGTTTTTAATTGCATGCAAATAATTAATTACAATAAATTAATAAAAAGTCTGGAAAAGGACACAGTCAATAAAGTTCAGTTTTAATTTGAAAAAATAAATAAATAATCAAAATATTCAATTAAAATCGCTACTGAATATAATTTATTAGAACATATGTGATTTGCACTTGTATGAAACTCAAACACGAATTCCGAATGTACAAACTAGAAACATGTGGATAAATATTATAAATATGAATACCTATAACTGTTACTTTATTACAAAAAATAAAGATGTGGTTTTTGGTTCTACTACACCAATGGTCAAGAGATGGCGCTGTAGTCTCCTGAATCGCGCTTTGGTTCCGTTGTTCCAGATTAATAAATACTTTTGATAGGCCTTCACAATGCAGTCGTTAGCACCCATAAAATAGAGATTCTATTTCTATTTTGTTGGTAGATTTTCTTAATGTGCGGTAAACACAAAAGTAACAGCATGAAGTTGGTCGCTAAAGCGAGCAACTTCATGCTGTTAATTTTTTGTGTTACAGTGATGCGCGCGCATCTTAAAATTTCACTCTCATATTTTTTTCATAACGCGCCTAAAGAAGTATAACTTCAATTATTAAATCGAATTTTTATAAACAGATTTATTTAAATGCACACCATGTCACATCCCTAGTTTTGCTTCCGAATGAAATTTCTTCTTTTTTCTTCGTCTCACATGGGAATGTTAATAATACCAAGTCCATACAGCGTAATTTTTACTTTAATTTCTTTTTTATTTTAGTATACTATTGGTGTCGAATCGGGCATGATTCTCTAAAGCTAAACTTAAATTTGACAACAGTGTATCCTTGTTATTCTCTACACAGAATGAAAAGGAGAGACTGATGTTAAATTAAGTTTTAGGTTTAGGGAATCATGCCAGAATTGACACCACTATCTACTCTGTGGTGCATGTGTGATTTGGGTTCAATCAACCACAAAGGTAGGTTCAAGTAGTATTGTAACATGAATTACAACACTCTCCACCTTTCCACTTTTTAGTTATCACTACATATCACCAATCCGTAAACCATCCTTACAATGCTATCTGCCATCATTTGTTTCCTGCTAACAAGACCTAGTATTTTGCTTTACTCCGTGCTTCGGAAGTCTCTGATATAAAGCTGGTCACACTTCTACAGGTCCACTCGGTAGGAGTTCGCGGACATGCAATGCCTGCCTGGATCGGAACACTATAAGTACTTGACTATTTTTTTAGGAAAAAAAGCAATAAATTTTGGATAAAACAAGTCTTAACTCAAGTTTATCGCATATCGCATCCTTTTCAGGCTGCTTCGTCAGAATTGTGATTTTATTTACTTGGTAAATGATAACAGACTAGCAAATCAGTGAAACAAATGTTCACCAAAAAAAAAATGTATTTAATTAATTGAGAACTTCGGAGATTTTCTGTGGTTTCGCTTGAAATAGAAATCACGTGATTTCTCGAAAACCGGAAGTGCTACGTGACTCACATTCGGTTTGTAGTCTTATCAAACTATTCTCAACTTATAACTTAAACATTCTCTTTATCTATCTCTTAAGGTTTGGTTTGGCCGCTGAAACAGCACCACGGACGGATGGACGGACGGACTTGTCTAATAGATAAGAGATGAGTGGTTTGGAGTGCCTGAAATCCTAAGAAACAAATATAATAAATTGGAGTCGGACAAATAAAACAAAGAGCTAAATTATTTAGTAACTATATTTATAATACTTATAAAAGCTTATAATAAAAAAACGAGTGTGTACTTCTCTATTGAACCGTTTATGTTAGATTGAGGTACGTTAGTAATGTATGTGTGATTAACTCAATTTATTAAACTTAATTGTCTTTTATTTTGTAATAAATTAAGATAGTTTCCACCTAACATTATCATTGATAAATAAATACTTACCTAAGAAATTAGGATTTTTTTATACTGCGAGATGTTGTCGTCATCTTTTGATCCAAAAATTATGGGTTTGGAGTAGGTATATAGATAGATTGGTGGATACATTTAAATACATTTTATCAGTATTAGATATTTTCTTAATCACAAAACTATTTACAACGCTTTCCCTAGTTTTATAATAAGTATGTACAATAAAATACTATTTTGGCAGGCGGTAATCCACTTCAGTACGTGGATATTATTTACATATTATGGCATCATTATTAAACACTATAGTGTAACTTACATAGTTTATGGAGAAACTGAAATTTCTTACTATCCATTGATTGTAAAAAATAAGCTTTTTATTATTTATACATTATTTACATGTTTTATTATTCGGAGGCATAGCTATACACAAGGGCGTCGCCAGCTTATGAATAAGGGGGGGCAATGGGGCAATATAATAAAAAAGGAAGTCAATTGCTCGCACATTGGTCGCTTTGCGGCTAGCTTCATTTGATCTTTCTGCCCCCCCCCCCCCCCCCCCTTGGCGACGCCCTTGGCTTTACACCTTACTGAACATTTCCATTGATTGAAGAAAAGGGAAATATTTGCTTTGAAATTCAGCCGCCCAGTTGAACTAACATTTATGCAAATAAAATTATCAACACTCGAATTTTAAGGTGGGCGGGGCAGAGGTTTTAATGCTAGGATGGGCTTAGCTACGCCCATGGAAATAATACTTGTGTACCTTACTTAAATAAGTAGGTACTTACATCTAAAGGAAAAAAAACATTTGGAGTCGGTGCAAACTCAAGTAGGTAAGTAGGTAGTAAATGGCAATTCAGTACCCTTAGCACAAGCCATTATCGAATCGGATAGTGGAATTCGATCTATTTTATAAGACAAATATGTATTGATTTCTCGTTATGTCCGTTATGGCGCTGCTGTTTATGATTCATACAAAATTAGACAATGACATTTCGACTCGCAAACTATTCGAATTCGATATGGTTCGTGCTAGGGGTAAGTACAGATCTATTTTGACAGTTAAGTATAGCAACTTCTCTAAATGCCGTTGATTTTACTTGAATGAAAGTTAAATATTATATATTTCCTAATTTTTAGAGATTTCACTTTTATGAAGTGGCCTTTTATTTTAATTTAAAAGTGTTTAATTGATCAAGTTGGCATATACCTACTAAGAACATAAATAATTATTTGAGTGGACATAATACATACAAAGCTATTCCAAAAAAGTACTACTTAATACCAAGGTACAAATATCCCTATACTTTACAGCACTACCTTATTATTACAAATTGTTATTTACAAATATCGTAATACAAATTTAACATTGTGAAGCACTGTACACTCTTATACATAACATTACAATTCGGCTATATTTTTACAAAAAAAATAGTTGATTGATACATACATAATCATACTTAAAGGGGTTGTATAAAAATCATATTAATTTGTACACAGAGTAGGAAGGTAAAATAAGAACTTGAGGCAGAGGTTCTGAGAAAATGTTTTGAATTAGAATCTATGAAGCCTAGGATTCTCTATTTCGCCTATTCCATTTAATTGAAATAACAGTTTATAATGTTACAAATAAGATAAATCCGTCATTTCATAACATAACACTAAATCATAATCGCTTCTCTAATAAATAATGGCACTACAACATACCCACTTAGGACAATTAATAAATCAAACACACATCTTACATCTATAAATGCGAGTTAGGCGATCACTATTCAATATAACATAATAGTCTTTTAATTTTGAGCAGTAGTTTAATTCAGGATCGGTCAAAGGATGGTTTCTCCCGCCGAGTAGTGGTAATGTCGAGGTTTTCTGTATGAATGTTGCTGGGGCGGCCTGTACGTCGCATACTTGTGCATCTGTGAACGCGACAGCGAGTGCGAATGCGTCGAGTAGCAGTGAAGCGTCAATGGTGTGGGCGGTGGACCAGACGGACATTTCGTCAAAGGAGGCTGCTTCCGAGGGCCTGCGATCTTGCGCCACAGAGCTTTAAGCCGTGGCGTTGCGATCCACACCGCGACCATAACACCGAGGATCTGTGACGCAAAGATCCTAAATAGGAACACCCAGAATGCTGGGTGGGGATGCGTCGACGGTTCGGCGGTGGGAACTGGTGCTGCTAGCCAGTCGTCCCTCCACGCGTACTCGTAGACCCACGTGGCTAAGATGCAGGTGGAGGGCACGGCGTAGAGCGCCGCGAACGCACCCAACCTCAGCAAGCTTTGGTCCGTTATCTGCTGCTGGGGCGCTGTGAGCAGTGTCGCGGGCGCAGCTACTGGCGTTGGCCGCTGAAGTATTGCGCGAAGACCCGTTGCGAGGAACACGGTGCCCAGTAACAAGCAGATTGTTTCTGGCACGATAACTAAAGCCAGCAACGATTTACTGGACTGATTTCCGACGAAGCACGTTCCTGAAAAAGAACAAATAAAAAAAACTTTAATACATTAGCATATATACAAGTGGGATGCAGTCAAAAATGAGGTGCACTGTTGGAAAATACGGTATATTGTTTTAAAAATCTTATTTTCCTACTAAGCCACTTTTGTATTGTTGTTAAAAAACAACAATACAAATTGCTGTTTGTAACTAGTTCCTAAATAGACATAGGAAGAAATGTGTAATTTCCGATATTTTCCTATTGTATAGGTATATATTATTTATTGACTACGCAGGAAAATTCGAAGGTAACTAATTTTATGCTAATATCACGGTCTTTCAAAATGTCATCGTCTGGGAGTGAAGTGAATATATATTTTATTTCATTTGGGAAGGTAAATGAACTTGACGCCGAAACGGCCGAGCTGCGCTTAGCGGATACGGATTCTCTCTTTCTTTTTATCGCATTGAATAACATTCCGATTTACACTAAAGCCACTCTCAAAGTGAACACCTACACAAACATACGGCGAGAGAGAAAAAAGGTTTGCATTAATAAGGCAGTGGTTTAAAGGGCCGATTTAAAATTGAAATATGAGCGTGCGAGGTGGAAAGGTGTCGTATTTAACGGCTCCAATGATGGTCGAGCATTTCTTTCTGCCGTCATAATGGAAGTGGGAATAATAAAAATAAAAGCACAATACTCGTCGTGGCATGATTGAAACTGCAATATGCCTGAGAAAAGGACTGAACGGCACTACGCACACTTTGGTATTTTAATGCGATATCATAAAGGCTTTTACAAAATTAAACTTGGGAACAGAGTTATAGAGAACTAATTATTGAAATATAGATATTTCAGAAGGAAATAAAGATGTTGAGAGTGGAATTTATTATAAAATTGATTGAATTGTTCATTTCAATCTTCTTCGCGCAAAGACGTTCCGCGCGAAGGTATGTTTCATACCATTTTATCAAAGTAGAGATTTTTATGTCTAAACCAAACCATAGGCGAAAGTTTAGAAATATTCCAGAAAAAAATATCTCGGATTGTAAAGAATGCTGAGACCGTTTTCCAATGAAATCTTAATAAGTACATAAAGTGCCTCTATGCATGATCAGCCTGTTGTTAAAATTTATGATCGCCGAACGGCCGGACGCAACGGGTTAGCTGATTTTATATTTTAACTAAGGTAAATTACCTACTCGCCAAGTATTTCTATAAAACTTTTTTAAAAATCTTAAAGTTTAAAAAGCACTACTCACTCCTGCAGTCCTGCTTGTAAAACGTCATGATTAAACTGCAATACTATATTTATATACTGTAACTAAGGCTATTGTGCTCGTTTTAGTATTACTTTAGGCATCTGACTGCTAGATTTTAAAGTCTAAAGATTTTTTTAATTAGATCAAAATCCACGCGGTCCAGGCATTAGACAGGATTCGATCCTGCATCTTCATAAAACACAAGCTATTTAGGTTATCAGCATGTAAGACATTATCATAAATTAATTACAAATACTGAGCTACTCAAGTAAATATTATCCGTTATATCGCGGCATTTCATACGGTCAGTTTGTTATGTTCGGCTTCATAGTATAGAAGTAGGTGTCGGCAGGGAGAGACTTTGTAATCCCAGCTTATGTGATAATGATAAGTTTTTGATAAACATGTGTTTTGTCATACTGCGTCGCTTACCGCCATGTGGCTTTGAAAATTAATGCACCAGTAAATAGTTACTATATTTATTTATTGTCTTAATTCTCTTGTTGAAGAACTTTGAAGTTGTCGGGCACACGGCAAACCGGTAAAATAAAAGTAAAAAGGGTTGTATGTTTTTGTATAGTTTATAAATTGATAAGATTAGAATAATTAGCTCTTTAAAAAGGTAGTACCTCCTTTATAAACCGGCAAGTGTCGGATGGAGCTCGATGGCGCAGGTGGTTAGCGCGAACTTCAAAATGAGATCGAGACAATCACTCCACCTCACATTTGATACAAAATTATTACATAATTATAGTGAATTTGTTATTCTGAACATTATCACTACCTACTTAAATATTTCTTTAACGTGTGAAGTTAAGCTTTTTCTCAAACTAGGATTTTATCAGCGACCAAACCAACTGCTTGTTGCCCTCCTTGGTACAATGAGGCTCCTACTTCCATACAAAACACTCAATGCCATTATCGTATGAATGCGTGCTCCTGCGCACTCGTACCAGATTTTATTCGCTTTGAAAATGCCGCGCGCCGATTAAATAATTGGCGGGATACTTTAATCGAATCACTGAACCATTGTGATTGTTTGTGGATGTACTTTACTACCTACCTTATTGATTGAATATGTGGAATATATGTTTTAAATGTGGCACTTCTTGGATACTTACACCAATTCAGTCTCTGTATTTTTATTTATCTTATTAAATAATTAATTACTTTTTAGTTTAAATCACGATACTACAATACATAAACGAGATGTCGCTTATACTTGGCGTTGATATCTGTAGATTTTCGTATGATTTTCCTTCTGACGTTCTGACGTTAGTGATGAAACGATGACTAACGAAAAACTTTTATTAAAAAAGTAGTAGTTTAATTCATCAAAAAAACATAACTGAATAACAACTTTTCAGTTATGCTATAAAAATTACAAAATGGCTATTATTTTATTAATTAATGAGGCTCTATTCAAATCATGTAGAAGAACCGCGAGAAGTTGTTACTTGTTTTTGTTAAAATTCAGACGCAGTTTCTGATCGGCTTCTACTTACTAAAAAAAATTTTCCTGTAAATGAAAGAGAACAACCTCCTTTCAACGCACTGAACTGTTTGTACCTAGCGACAATAAAAAAAACAAGTATTGCAATAACAGCAAAACATCTAACAGTCCTTACAACTCTGAAAGGTTTAATAGGCTCTGTGCTCTGTCCGCTTTGAGAGACGATAGGTGAGAAAAAGTGGATCGTTTATAAAGGCACCTTATGCGATTACTATCATTTCCTGTTCTTATTCAGCGTAGGTTGCAAGTAGCAATAAATATTGCATGACTAATAGAACAACCATTACTAGAATCATATAGGTATAGTATAGAATTTTCAGTTTGAAATTTCGAATTAGAGATATGCTCGTCTGGGGAAGTTGTTCGCAATTTGGAGACCACAGTGAAATAGCACTACCTTCAAGGTGGGGTTGTATTTCTGTTGATAGGTGAGTACGATTTTTACAGTTCACTGTAGGAGTGATAATTTCGTAGATATCGCAAGCTTTATATATAGGCTATGGTAGCTTGTTTACCATCAGGCAGGACAGTGCTTGTTTAGCTTATCCTTTTTACATAAAAATTGCTTCTATTTCTTCCTATTACTGCTGGAACCTACCTGTGACAACATACCCCACGTTGCCAGCTCAAGCTACAAGTACCGCTCGCTCTAAAAGGTGTCAATGCTGGCACCTACCGGTAAGTTCGTCGGCGTCGACGTTCCTGGTGACGAGCACGGCGGCCGCGAGCGCTGCCGTCACGCCCCACGCGGCCAGCTGCAGCAGCGACTAGTGCCGGTCTTTCTACAAGGTGTCACTGTTGGCACCTACCGGTGAGTTCGTCGGCGTCGACGTCCCTTGTGACGAGCACGGCGGCCGCGAGCGCTGCCGTCACGCCCCACGCGGCCAGCTGCAGCAGCGACGAGTGCCGGTCTTTCTACAAGGTGTCACTGTTGGCACCTACCGGTAAGTTCGTCGGCGTCAACGTCCCGGGTGACGAGCACTGCGGCCGCGAGCGCTGCCGGCACGCCCCACGTGGCCAGCTGTAGCAGCGACTAGTGCCGGTCTTTCTACAAGGTGTCACTGTTGGCACCTACCGGTGAGTTCGTCGGCGTCGACGTCCCTTGTGACGAGCACGGCGGCCGCGAGCGCTGCTGGCACGCCCCACGCGGCCAGCTGCAGCAGCGACGAGTGCCGGTCGTTCCTAGAACTGGTCCCGGGCGTTGCAGGTGGCCGCAACACGCTTGATCGCCAAGCGCCCGCCACTACCACCCACCTGGAAACAAACAAACATTATTACTTAAGATAAACTTGAAATCGGTAAGTATATATTGTTTTTGACTTGCTCAAGGTGTCAGCCGTGATCTTAGATTAAATTAAAAGGAGTTTCTTGGTAATGTAAGCTATCCAGTACACCTAGATATGGCGCCACGCTGCAAATGAGTAAAATGCAAACAGGTTTTTGAAATATTTATTGATTTTATTTATAAGTCACATGTTAGGCCAAGGAGGTACGCCATCATTTGGCATTATTAGCGCTCCAAGACTTTCCTTGCACAGTCAATGTTGGTCGCCTGCTATTAACAATACAAAAATCAGGCCTCTACACTTAGCTCAACGTGCTGGTGGTTCAATCAAGGTTCAAAACCCGATCTGTATAGCAGGCTATAATGAAACCTAAAAAGAAATATAAGTGCGGTTATATTTTTTTTATTTGTTCAAATTTATTTAATGATAGGGATTTAATTATGTTCATTTCTGATGTTCTACTAACCCCTCAATGGATATTGGATGTTCTAAGCGGATATATAAATAAGTATATTAACTAAAATCTTTGTGGTAACCAAATATGCAATTTAACTCAGAGCAAATAACTGTTATTGTTATTTTAATTATTGGTATTATAATAATTATAATGTTATTATAATTATCAAGATGTATCCACTATCGAACAAATATTCTGTCATTCGCAGACGCAGATGTTTGTTTCACTTATCACGCTTTTATAAACTTGTTTTGGACTATTTAACTATTTATAAGTAAGAAGACTGTTTTAAACTATTTGTCTTTGCTTTTACATTAAACGATTTATGGTATTTTGCCTTAGGTGCCTAAATTTATGTGAGAGCGTTATTATCTACCACAGAACTGACAAGAGAATATTGCAATATCCGATGTCGAACCTTGTTAAACCTCTTTGAATAAAAAATATTATTTAATAAGGTAAGTGATACAAATAAGGCCTATGCTGAAATAAGGCCTGTGGTGCAGAAAAATCTTTTAAAATAAGTATGTTTACATCAAAAATACCTTACACACGCATATATGACAACTACTCTTTACTTTACTTTACTACTAACTACGTTCTACAACTCAGCAAACTGTGCGCGAGCGGTCCACGCTAGCTCATAGCGTAAGTAGTGGCGGTACCTTGTGACGGACGAGCTTTACATAGCGCGTTATTAATTTGTCGTAATCTTTAGCGAATTATTCTTTAAAGTTTTGTTATGTAATGTGAACTTTAATATTGTGTAGCGTTTTTTGTTGACATGTGGTATTTACCTGTAGATGTTTGTTTCGTTCAACTTTAAAAAGATAAGACTTTAGTGTTACTAGTATCAATGTAAACAAACTTGATAAATCAATATATATATATATTTATTGTTTAAACTATCAAAATCTAACTAATTTATTTTCAATATTCTCAAGTTTTCGAATTAATAGGTGTACCTACTGAATTTCCTATCATGGTAATTTTATTCACTTATCTTTATGGCGATTATGATTTGAAAGGCTAGGCTATATAAAAGCATACGTCGAATTAAACTCATGTAAGTTACGACCTTTGTCAACCCTTACTTAGCTCGTTAAAAGCTCTGACAGGTAAATCCCTCCCACTACAACGAGAAAGGTGTCGCCTTGTTTTAAAGCGACGACGGCCGACGCCAGTTTGCTAAGACTCTCGGCCTGCGCGTAAAGGCAAGCAAGAAACCAGTAATACAGAGGTCTCGAATGGAATGTAGCATGGCCAAAGGTGGTCGCAGTGGCGTGTCACCGGCACTTGAACAAACAAGGGGCCCTGTTCAAACAGAGACGACGAAAGTGGCGATACCTACTCCAAACAGCGTTGTTTGCCAGCGTCGTGTTTGATCCCGCCTCCGCTGGCAACACGATGTTGGCTAACATTTTACTAATGTTTGTACGATTTGCATTGTGATAATTAGCTGGTATTTCTTTGAACATACAGCAGCGATATGGTACTTTTTGAATGCCAGACGCAACAGCGTTATAAAAGACCGAATCACTTTAATTATGCACGATTATTGTGGCTGAAAATTAAAAACACTTTTGCGTATGACATGGCCAATTGTTTATTCACTTTACAGGGCAATATAAATGTAACTTGTAATAGTTTTTTTTAACACGAGTCATGGAGTCGTAAGTGTATGTACCTATACGATATTAACGGAAAGGCGCGAACAGACATACACTTTAAGAGGTATTTATTTCTTTTTATGTGGCATCGGCCCAAACGGAATGGCCATTATACGATAACCTTATCTCGTGGCGAATGATCGGTTTCACGCCAATACACAATATTTTCCGATATAAATTTACCGTTGAAACTGACTCATATACATATGGTCGGTTTACCTTAGGGAAACTATTTTCTTATATAATTTTGTCAACATTCAATTACAATTCAACATTCCGAAATCCAAAATCAAAAATCATCATCAAGCTTAATCTTTTTGAAATCGATAAAGATAGAATGTTATGATTTTGTTTTCAATTTCAGAGTTGGTACTAGTTAAAGTGCAAAGGGCGCAAAGTTAAAGTTTAGCTTTCGAATTATAAAAAAGTGAGCTTTTGTTTTCCTCTTAAAATATTATAAGATTATAACAAAATCTTTTTGTAATGTCCCGCGCCACATTTTGCATGCCAATCAAAAGTGACTGCTTGTTCGAGCATAATTGATGCGATATTTGATATTTTCGGCTATAACTTTTTTACGCTGGCTGGTTTACGAGGCCACACACATAGCTATTATTACCGTTGTGTCGTATTCTTATTTCGAATGTGTCGGACTCTAGTCGTAAACGTCATCTCCACATGTAAAATGCAGTTTTCAGGGCTGTCATTGATTTGTAGAAATACAATGCAGAATAATCTGCTGCGTCGTTAAAGTGGATTTTATTAATGATGCCCATCCATAAACAACCTGCAATAAATTTGTTTAATGATCTCAAATAATTTATTTTAATATAACATGATAATATTATTAATTCCGAAGTTCTTATTTATCGAGGTTGGTGGAATGATAATCTTGATTTCAAGAAAGAGGAGTTTTACTTCTACGTGTAGTGGCACTTTTCAGTGTATACTGAATAATAATGTATTATAAAAATAATAACGATAAATGCTTGCACTTGTATTAATTGTGTGTCTTAAATAGTTTAAAGATGTGAAGACTATACCAACCATCATCACATACATATATCATGCCTGAATACTATTTCTCTATTTCGCTGCAAGATCAAAGCAACAATCTTCTACCAGGATAGCCAGGAGTGCGCTCATACTCCTCTCTACTTGTCGCTCTTATTTCACAAATATGAAAAATTAAAACTTTGAATAACATAACTTGATATTAATCAAATTTAATAACAAATTTTAGAACTTGAAACTTCCGAAAAAGATTATTAAAAGAATTAAGAATTCAGTTAATGAAAACCAATTTTACCTACCTACTTATATGAGTCATATCATTTGGCATTTAATGACCGTAGCCCAAACTGACCAATTTCATAAAAACCTACATACAAACAAGCATAAATCAATTAGCATTAGCATTTACCTCCAAATAAAATCAGACGTTCATTTCATATCGCTCTCAGAAAACATCATCCAACAATTCATAAATTCAATGTTCGGTTTTGTTTTGTTGAAGTCGCGTTGCAACTTCTCAGAATTTACTGTCTGGAAATGATTTCTTGTATTTTGTACACACACACACACACACACACACACACACACACACACACACACACACACACGCATGCACGAACGGTTTCTAAGAAGAGAATCTATTTAATAGAGCATACTTAATTATGTGTAACAGGTACTTATTATTTGTTTTACTTAGTTATGATGAGAATAGAAATATTTTATCCTTTTTAAACGGTTTTACATTATAATTTTTCAAATTACCTAGTTTTGTTTAGTCTCAAGGATATTTTTGGTAGGTACTTTCTGAACACTACACTTACATTTCAGTTTTATCAATGTTTGGAAATTATTCATTTCACCTATTTTACTTACCTAATGTTTGCAATTGAATATTACCTATCACCTTAGTATGTTTACAGTATTGCAAAAGACATTTTGAATCATACGAAATACATTTACCAAAGATCATAAGTAGTGCCTACCTACTTGAAAATACAAAACGAAGGTGATTAACAAAGCGAATTACACCGCCGAGCAGGCAGAGCCGGGGCGTAAAACCAGCCCGTTAAAACGCCGTAAAACTAAACACTGCACTATTTGGGTGAATGTACCCATTTATTTTCAATCCATACTGTTCAGTGAAGGGAAGATTAGAAGTGCCTATGTGAACTGGCGGGCTATGGAGTTCCAGGAAATCAAATACTCATGAAGATTCGTAATGCAAAAGTCTTGGACGATAGTGATATTGTTCAATAATAACATCAGTTCTTTTCGTGTTCAATTCATGATTTTTACTTTTATCATGTTTTTATCTATAAATGAAATGGTGGCAAAGAAGAATAGCTTTTCCTCACAGGAGAGAAGAAAGATCTATTTTCTTTCTCATGATCCTGATCGTCGAATCCACTTGTCTCTTAAGTTACATTGATATCTTGCTTTAGCTTTGAAGGGAAGTATTAGCCCTCTCTAACCCCTTTTATCTACATAGGTACACACCTAATAGCGAAATTCTACATAAGATTTAGAGTAGTTAAAGGTACCTTATAATTTTGTCAAATAATTGCGACAAAAATATGCAAAGGAAACAAACCCTCCTTTTTGTAGTCAGTTAAAGTACTCAACAGAAGAACAACTGTTTAAAAGGCAAACAAAAAGAAACATCAAAATCTATTCATAAAATTTGTAAAATTTATCGCGTAACAGCGATTTAAGTTTAAAGAAAAAGGGAGTTAACGCACTTCTCCTTTAAGCAACTTCAAACAAAAAAGGAAGAGGTCATTTATTCTGGAACGCATACATATTTTTTTATATAAAAGGTCATAGGCA